ATATAATGGAGATGGACAAATGAAATGGATTACGTATTATGGTCACATTATTTTGGAGATTCATGAGAAGAATTGATAAAGTATATTTTTCCAGAAACAGAAAATTACCCTTATTCAGCATTATCTCCGAGGCTCATAACTTTTGAGTGAGTAGAATTGAATTTTGTTCGTCACTCTATGGTCCCATGTTGAATAATATTCAATGCCATTTCCATGATATATAGTAACGATCATAATATGACAGTCATTTTTAGAAGAGAAGTTATCACACGTGAATGGCTGGACCGATTCCACTACCTATTTTTTTGTTGTATTTGTTATTGTCAGGGAAAATTTCTTATGGAAGAAGAATTTGTATCTAAGGGGGGCCGGAGATTATGATCCTTTCCTCAAAATAAAAGGAACCAAAAAAAGGAATTTAAGATTGCGGATCCAATATAAGGTGGATGAGTTTTGTAATTTTGATTTGATTCTATTTGAAATTAGCGTGTAAGGGTTCTTGGGGTCGGTGATTATGATTTCTTTGTCAGAATGAAGGAATTCAAGATGACGGAGCCAATATGGCAAACGAACTTTGTAATTATTATCCGATTTCATTCAAAATTGGTATCTGGGGATTCTCGGGGTTGAAACTTATGATTCTTTCGTCAAAATTGAGAAATTCAAGATGGCGGATCCAATATGGCGAACGAGCTTGGTAATTATGATCCGATCCTATTCTAAATTTGTATCTTAGGGTTTTCGTGGTTGGAGATCAGATTATTTCGTCAAATTTGGAAAACTTATTCAAGATGACGAATCCAATATTATGTCATATATCTTTGTTTTTTTTTTTTGATAAGTAGTCATGATCCGATTCTATTCAAAATTGGTATCTGGGGATTACAGGGGTTGAAAATCATGATTCTCTCGTCCAAATTGAGAAATTCGAAATGACGGATCTAATAATTCTATTCAAAAATAGTATTTGGGAGTTTTCGGGGTATAACATTATGATTTCTCCGTCATAATTGGAAAATTCAAGATGACGCATTTAATATGTCGAACGAGCTTTGTAATAATTGGTGTTTTGTTCAACTGAGAAAACACACTTTTATGGTTAGTCAATCTGCAAAGAAGTTGAAAATAGTAAAGTGTATCGTTGAAAAGTCAGCTGGAAAAATTTCTTCTATAGATAACGTGTATATGGTATAACAACGTTTTCCGGGTCAGATATAGTATATATATTATGAAAATTATATCTCACAACTTTTGGTGTGACATACGTATCAAGATACATATTAACACTTCCATCTTATGACCTTCTGATGATATAATGACAAAAAATGACTACACAACGAGGATAATATTCCAATACAACTCTCCTACGACTGGCTCATAAGTTTATATTAGCAAGTTATCACGACTACATCATAACGTCGATGTGACGTCGCAGAAATGAGCCTTTTTATCGAATTGCCATACATACCGGCGTTTGAGCATATAGTGCAAGACATAAATCACGGAATTTTGAATATGATCTCGTAGATGTGTGTACAACCAATTTATAGCCTATGTGCGTGCTACTTGCTTACTCAAGGAACTGAAAAGTTTTTGATTTCGAATAAATAATTGTATTTTGTGGAGACAGCTGTTCAATTTCCTAGGATTGAGAGTTTTTTTCATACAAAGACTCGGAGAATCGAAGTGTATTATCACGTTCGATGCGGTTACAGAAAATAGTAGCTTATGAAACAATGAGTGAGTAAGCGTCCTTGTTGTTTAAGATCCATTGTTCGAAACTTCTCGAAGTGTTCCAGTGATGACATACCAAGTGGTCAAAAAGTGTGAAATATAATCGAAGAAGTTCAGCCTCCGTATTCCCTTGAATTCTTTTCTCCCTCCTGCATATCATCATTCTCGAATTTCCAAGTCAATATCTCGAAATGGTTTTGAAATTTCGGACCTTTTCCATAGAGTATTTGAAATATCGATATTTTTCGATATTCAGTACTTTCATGCACTTCTATAGATTTAAAAACTCCAGGCGATATTTAAACCATACTGCAGTGTGATACGATCGAATTCATTCCTGGTGAAGTTATCCACCTAGCTTTGAGAGCAGCAAAACCTCCGACAACAACAAAATGAGCGTTTTCCGAATAATGTGTGGGATTTCATGGAATCGTCTGCCATATTGATACTGCTACAATAATGCGCTTCTGAAATAATGAATCCTTCATCCAGATGGATTTCCCCAGTTGACATCTCACAACAATTTCGTGATTTTTTAGATAAGTCAATTTCTGGGGCCGCAAGGGGGCACTTTTGCAATATTCAGTACTTCAGATTGAATACTGAATTAGGTGCACCTAAATAGTTACAAGTCAAACAGCATACAGGGTAGGTCAAAAAATATAAAAATTGCTCTAGAGGAAAGTACCCTCAATTCAGAAAAATCAGCAAAATGTTAATGAGAAAAGTTATTTACAATTGAGAGTTATGCCTAAATAAACATGATCTTCTATGGCCTTTTTCTAGTTTTTAAAATTTTTTCGTTAATAATTCCCCAATTTCTATTTTTTTTTTATATTCACCCCAAACACTTTCACAAGTTTATCATAACAAAATCAGTTGATTATACCTCTGTTCAGATTCAAGCATATTTTTGCAATTAACTTGGATTTCAATTCTTTTAGGGAATCACAAGCTTTATGTTTGTTGCAACAATATTCAGATTGGCTTCAAAATTTCGCAAACCATATCTTTAACAAGGTGAAAAATTAATAATGATAATATGCATATTTGAAAACTTTCATTCAACGTGAACATTTTGTATTTGAAATGTTTATGAAAAAGCTGTACAAATTGATCGACAACCATGATATCTTTGAAAATAATCACGGATACCCAAGGAACGAAACAAATGAGGGTTGACAGTAAACATAAAGGCAGTTGGGTGACATTAGCTTCTCATCTAATGATGTTTTACCCTGTTGAAAATATGGTTTGCGAAATTTTATAATCAATCTAAAAAACATAAAATCCGAGTTAATTGCACGAATATGCTTGAATTTGAACAAAAGTATGCCCAACTGATTTTGTTATGATTAACTTATGGAAGTGTCTAGGGTGAATATAAAGAAAATTACAAATTGGGAAGAAATTGACGAAAAAAATTTAAAAACCAAAATATGTCGCAGAAGGCCATATTTTGATATTTAGGCATAGCTTTCAATTGTGAACAACTTTTCTTCATAACATTCTGCTAAATTTTCTGATATGAGCGTACTTTACCCTTGAGCAATTTTTATATTTTTTGACCTACCTCGAATGCTGTTCGACATGCAACTATTCTAAGTGCACGTGAGTGCAATTCGAATTCGTGATTTCCAGACATTCCTGAGTTGGAATGAAATTAAGGAACCTCTAGACAGGGTGATTCAAAAGTAAGCGGCATCCTTTCAGAGGCGTATTCCTTGCATGGAAATAAGGCAAGAAGTTTTTATTAATAAGGGTCCAAAAATGCTTCCTGAGGGAGCTAAGCCCCTTTGAATAGGACACCTCGAAGACGATTTTCTTTCTATAACTTCGGAATCCTCCACAATAAATTCTCGAAAATTGGTGTACGGCATATAAGGATTCGATGGTGAAATAGACTCTGAATTAAAAATTCCGAAATTTCATTCAGGGGCGTTTTAAAGTTTTTCACGCAAAAAATGTTCTCTTAGTTCATTTCGATAGAGTGTACCATTTAGGAGAGAATCGACTTTGAAAACTTTCTGAATTGGGTAAATCATGACGTCGACGAAACCGCAAAACCAAGTAACTGCAAAAACCAAAATTTTCAGGAGACACTAAAAACTTCATAATTTCGGGTTAACTGATCAGATTCAATGAAAAATAGTTACGAACCACCTGATTATTATTATCCTCACGTTTGTACATTGATTATTGAGAAAAGTTTCGTTTTTGTTTGTCATCGTAGAATACTTGGTTTTGACATCTGCTTATGTGCGAAAGCAACAACAATTATTATTCAGAAAAGTAATTCGCAAAAACTCGTAACTTCATTTTCCTGGACTTTCCGCTAAAAAATACTCAAAATGAATTCTGTGTTGAAATACCAATTGAAGTTAAGATTAAACTAATTTACATTATCTGTTCTATAAAAAAAACCACTCACCAATTAGCAGAGATTAATCTCTGTGAAAAGAAATTGAACACAAAAAATCAGAGGCGTGAATCACGTTGTCAACTGTTAGATACTTGTTTTTGACGATCCCTCCAATTTTGTTTTTCAGATAAGGGGTTTTGTATTCATGGATTTTAAAATATTTACAATTTTTCACCAGTTGTTAGGTTTTGCATAAGCATCACCATCACCAATATAATAGACCGCGATTGCCGCCAGAATCCCATTTTCTAGTTTTTGTCAGTTACTTGGTTTTGCCATTCCATCGACGATGATAACTTGAATATCCAAAGAAAAAGGGATATTTTCACACTTACCCTCTTCTGCATGTGACGCCCCTAAATAGAAATCTGGAGTCTTATTCACCATTGATAGGAACTTTTCGCCTTTTATTCAGATGCAAGAAATATGCCCCTGAAAGCATGCCGCTTACTTTTGAATCACCCTGTATAGTGTATGTTACTTTCATCACTTGAGAGAAGTTTCCGTGAGTTCCTCTCTTTTCCGCTTATTTTTGACCTCTTGGTATGTCACAACTGGCGAACATCGTGAAGTTTCGAATAATGGCTCCCAAACAGGAAAGACGCATCTTTTGAACACCGCATTTCGATTGAGAATCGGTTCATTTGCAAAAAATTCATCCCATTTTTTGAAAACGTCGAAACTTCCGAGTGGTCCACCTCATACTTTGAGCACTTCAGTTGCATTTGAAATAATTTCGTGAAAGGAGTAAGTGAATACCTATATAGACCCAAATATTCTGAAGTGAGGGGTGAAGATCAGAATAGACAGTTGAATGAGTCCCTTGAAAAAAAAAATAACTTACATATCATCTACGTCGTTCATTGTCTTCATCATATACTGGTACTAGAATTCACTGGAATATTGATGGTACGGAAAATCACACGATAGTCTGGAAATTGATTGACATAACAAATTTTAATGAGTTATTCCAACGAACATATAATCAGCGATGTTGATCGATAATATTTAACTGCAGTTAGATACACAGCATTATGTATGGATCTGAAACTGAACTGAAATTTTCACCAACCACCATTAGTTATTATTATTCGTCGCTCAGGTGGCAGACGTTAAGCAAAGAGTGGGAGTGCGCTAATAAATTCTGAATAACAAATAATTTTAGTATCTATTAGAGGAGCAATTATTGGGCCTGTTGATCACGTAAATGTCGCAAATTCTTCTGTATGTAGTCATCAATAATAATTATCGACATGTTGTTCGGCTGAATATTATCATTTGATCATTCGGTTATATTTTTTTCCACTACTACTGCTAAAACACGCTATCTCATCACATGCTAACTTTGATCTGAGAAATCTATTATTCCTCGGGTACTGGTTGATATTGAAATTTGTACGTCTACTACAGTTCTCAACACTCTATAAATGGACGGTATCAGTTGTTCAAGAAGGATTAGTTCAACAGAGTGTTAACAAGATATAAAACTATGAACTAATCCTTCTTGAACATACTCCCCCGCCTTGAAATGCCCTGCTTTCAATCAGAATACTCTGGTAGAGGACAAATTTTGTTTCTTCGAAAAATCAATCCTATCGCTAATAAATAATAGTATGTCAAAAATTCATGAAAAGTGTGAAGTGGAAATTCATTCCAATCATACTTCATTTGTTTCGTCTCTCACATGTTTTATTCTTCATAGAATAACTGGATTATTGCCTAGCACCAGAATAAATGTAAAAACTCTGGAAATTCCTAATAATATTGTATTAGCTAATACACAATTCAATGAACCACAAAAAATAGATATTCTGATTGGGGCTGATTTATTTTGGAATATCCTTTGTCCTGGTATAATCAATTTGGGTAAAAATCAGCCAATATTGCAAGAAACTCTTTTCGGGTGGGTGATAGCCGGTCCGTTAGGAATTCCTATCATAGAACAAACGAATTGCAATTTAGCCGCCAGATCCGATGATTTGCATGACCTACTCGCTCAATTTTGGGAAATAGAGGAATACTCTGATGTTAAATCAATTTTCGAAAGTCAGCTGTCTTGTGAAAAATACTTTCAAGAAACTACCATTCGCGACAAAAATGGTCGTTTTATTGTTTCCATGCCATTGAAGCAATCAGCTTCTATTCTTGGTGATTCGAAATATGTTCAAGAAGGATTAGTTCAACAGAGTGTTAACAAGATATAAAAACTATGAACTAATCCTTCTTGAACATACTCCCCCGCCTTGAAATGCCCTGCTTTCAATCAGAATACTCTGGTAGAGGACAAATTTTGAATCTAAGAATATAAGCAGTGACTCTTTGGAGATGGTCAAAATTAGAGAATGAATCGAATGGATAACTATCACTGATAGTAACTGAACAAGAGTTAACTTCACGACGCATCCCTGGTAAATTATCTACATCAATTTTTATATCTTGTTATACGACGCTATACATAGTGGAGTATACTACGGCCGTGCCAAAAATGCTATCTCGGAAACTAAGCGAGATAGAGGTATAGTTGCTTTGGAGAAAATGATCCCCATCGAATTTTGAGCAACTTTGGTTTTTGTGTGTGGTCTGTCTGTCTGTCTGTCTGTACTCTGTGTTAATCATAAATCGATATATCTCCGGAACCCTTTGACATATCGACTTGAAATTTTGCCATCTTATTGTACTCAAAACAATATTATGTCATTAAAATATGAAGGAAATCGGAAAACTCTAAGGTGGTTTTTCCGGGTTTTTTCGATTTTTCACCGGAAGTTCCTTGTAATCACTCTACAAATCGCAAAAGTGGTCCGATCGATTTCATTTTTTGTGAAAAAAACCTCTATCAGGAAGAGACGAAGCCAATTGAAATTGAGCAGGGTCGGAAAATTCCAAGTGGGTTTTTCAAGGAGATTTTCCGAAAAACACGGTTCGCTTTAAAACGACATATCTCGTGAACAAATAGACTAAATCCAAATTTGAGAAATGCACCGTATGCCTCTTTGATGACGCAACAAATTATCATTCAATCATTTTTTCGTGCATCCATCGGAAACTGGAAAAACAAATGAAAACCCAAACATCAAAATTTGAAATCCTTTTAATTCAATATATATCGAAAACAAATGGAAAAATCGAAAATTATCAAGAGTGCAATGTTATCCACTGGAACATTCCCTACAAATCAGTTTCCATAATTTTTTCTGTAAACCCAATAGTACAGGAAATAAAGTGAAAAATATGAAAAATTAACGACCCATAGGGTACTATGAAGATATATTGACAAACATAGATTATCGATAGATGAAGCTCATCTACCTCCACTGAGGCATGGCATATTTTTTCATTTTGTTGATTGGAAGATGGAACAAAAGTGTTGAAAATTTTATTCTCAGATAATTCCAAATATCTCGAAAACAACTGAAAATATCTGAAAATGTTATAGAACCAAAATTATTCCTTTTGATAAAATCCACAAAAAATCCTCATAACATTTTTTTCTGAATTTAATAGTTCGGGAGATACGATGAAAAAACTAAAAAATTTACAAGTTCCTAGATAATCACTTGCCAATAGAAAACGAAACAAGAAACAAAGAAAGTAAAAAAAAGGACACTCGACTGTCTTGATTTTTTTCCCATAAAATACGTACCTAGCTCAGTCTACTGTCTTTATTTTTGCCAATAAACTAGGTACGGGCTAAGTACGTAGTTTATACGAAAAATCTCCAGTTCTCTGAACTTTCATAGCGTCGTATACACATCATTGGTGCCCAATGATAGTTTCAATATAAAAATATGTTCATGATATGGTGCCATGGCCTCAACTTCCATCTTACATGAGCAATGATAAAATATCATCTGCTTTTATAACGTCGTATGAATTATCTGACCTTTATACTAATCTGATACCTTTCAAAAACTACGTACCTCACTTGTTAACACTCTGTTGAGTTAACTTCACGACGCATCCCTGGTAAATTATCTACATCAATTTTTATATCTTGTTAACACTCTGTTGAACTAATCCTTCTTGAACATAATTGTGATATTTCATCGATTTCTGAGAAAGCTAGACCACTATGGAAAGTCTGCAGAAAAAAACGTACATAATATGGTGGTGTGTGGAACCATATTACACTGTGGTCAATAATTCCAAAGCTGCAGGAACCCGAACACTTTTTTCTGATCAAGAGCCAGTCATATACACATACATTGAGACTTCTTCTTGGGACATTTTTGTGATTTTCTCTCAAGTCTCCTTCGGAACCAGATTATTAATTTTTTTCAAAAGCCTTGCAATTCCTGAAATTTCTCTCCTCAACTCTATTCGAACGGAATATCAAAAAGAACTGTTTCAATATTTTCTGATGGTCGATGAAAGACAATGGTGAGACAAATGGATTATCACTGTATAATACACAGGGTGATAGAATGAAAAGAAAAAATACCATTTCAGTATTTAAAAATCGGAAACGGATATTATTGAAACCATGGCCAGATAGATTCATGATATTCAGAAACAGCCTTCTCGATATCCATCATTCATATTAGACTACCAACCCGAGATGTTTTCGAAAATTCATTTCTAATTGAAATACATGATGAAATTTTCCAATACTTTGATTCCTGATATTGATGATTCTTATCTACCGAATTCCAATATGTATTGCGGAAGTATGAGATACAGAGATACTCGAACAATGAACAGGATGTTCTACAACTTATCCGACATATTTTTACCACAACTCGCACAGTGGTACCTACATAAGTCAATCACACAAAAAAATACATCAGAAAACGAGATCAAAATTGGAATTGGTAACATTTGAATACTGTCTGTGGGTCAATCGAGGAAGTGGTACATTCATTTTATTTGATCTTTGAAAAAGAAAGCAAATTCAACATACGCCGACCATATATAAAATGAAAACCATAGTTTTGATTATTATTTCGAAATTCTACATGAAGAAAATAAAGGAATTTTTTTACATTCATGCAAAAAGCAGAACTTTATTGAACTATATTAATTGGAAGAAAAAGTTCTCCATTGCACTTAGTGCAATAAAGTTTTTATTGCACTCATCTGTCATTCTACTTCAAAGTGCTGTCATCATGACAAACATTATTTATATTGCAACTGTGGTAATAGAAACGTCAGTCAAAAATTAATTCTGACAAGTTGCGTTTTTCACTTTCCTACACCTAGTGCCACACCTCAATAAATCATTTTTTGCTTTTTGCATGAACGTAGAAAAAATGTTGTATGCAACTCTTGCAAAAATTGTTTATTGCACTCGACGTGAAATTGTCCGACGAGGCCGTTAGGCCAAGTTGGAAAACACGTCTGTAGGTTAATCGAGGAAGTGGTACATTCATTTTACTTGATCTTTGAAAAAGAAAGCAAATTCAACATACGCCGACCATATATAAGAAGAAAACCATAGTTCTGATGATTATTTCGAAATTCTACATAAAGAAAATAAAGGAATTTTTTTACATTCATGCAAAAAGCAGAACTTTATTGAACTATATTTAGTGGAAGAAAAAGTTCTTTATTGCACTTAGTGCAATAAAGTTTTTATTGCACTATTGCACTGTCATTCTACTTCAACGTGCTGTCATCATGACAAACATTTTTTATATTGCAACTGTGGTTATAGAAACGTCAGTCAAAAATTAATTCTGACAAGTTGCGTTTTTCATTTTTCTACACCTAGTGCCGCACCTCAATGAATCATTTCTTGCTTATTGCATAAACGTAGAAAAAATGTTGTATGCAACTCTTGCACAAATTGTTTATTTCACGTCGAGTGCAATAAACATTCACTTTTAGCACTTGTTGCATAAATAACTATAAACTCACTCATTTTGAATCATCAGAAATCAACAAACTCAAAAAATTTCACATTTTACTTAACGATCAACTAGACCTTAATAGTTCACCACTGTTGAATTTGTTTTCTTAGTAGGTAATATTTATATTCATTTGCTATCAACCCTTTCGAGTTAATCCGGTACACCGCATTTTAATGTAGATATTGTGTCTGATTTCCAAAAATGGAGGTTTATCAATCTTGTCCACAGGTAACTGATCCTTCAAGTTGGGAAA